AGTTCAAGTCGAGTATATTAGGGAAGCAAAATCTAGGCCTTCGGAAAAATGACCGGCTATTAAAAAGTTAGTATAAAGTATCAAAGGTTTCAATGTTACCAATCACAGTGCTATTTGCGAACCTGTTATCATGAGAAGGTTCAGTGTTACTTTAAAACAAAAGCCCTGGGTATAACAGGTCAGAAGAAAAAGTTTATTGGGTGTTGGAGGAGATCTTAAACATATATCAGATATGTTAAATGTAGCAGATATAGTAGAGCTATTAGTGATTTACTTACGGCAAATATAGGTATCAGTTGATCAGTTAGCCTAAGGTAAAGGGTCAGGTAAATGAATTGTGTTCACTTCAGTGTGAATAATCTACTGGTAGATAGTTCAGATCCTGGCCAAAAAACAAAAAGGCTAACGTAGTAGTGTAAAATTCAAATGGATTTGCAACTTAGACTAGAATACACTGTTGTATACGATCGATCTATGGATGATTTTCAAAGAGATCTTTAACGGATCAGCATACCTTCTACAGGATGATGCCGAATAACCTCACTGCACACCACATAACTCAGGGCAGCACACACACCAATGAAAGGGATGAGTCATTACTACAACTTGTTATGGAATATAATTTAGACATATTAAAGGTAAGAAATAAATCAACTTTCGTAATTAAACAACAAAAGAGGTAACTGACATAACAACACTAACATTAAGAAATGATACGATGTAGAAACATTTTTCGTTGGTCATATTATGGATGGTGTAATGGTTGCCTATACATCAGGGACAATATGTGTATAGAGCAGGAAGCAACACTACTTGATTTAAAGAAGATGGGTTGACATATTTTATTTGTCAGTTACGTACCGATATCAATAATTTGTAGACAGCAGACAAACTTGTATTCTGTGCAAAAAGACAGTAAAAATATTAATACAAATGCAGCAGAGATAGAGCAGTTCTTAGGCATACATGTATTGAGTGGAATTGTTCATGTTCCTTCGTATAGAGTGTATTGGGAAGAAGAAACGCGATATAATACGATAGCTGATATCATGTCACGTAATCGTTTTGATAAACTGCGAGCATATTTTCACGTCAACGATAATTTAAAAGTCCCATCTAGCAACAATGACAAATTATATAAAGTAAAACCTTTCGGCATTATAAAACCTTTCGGCAAATTACAAAAGTTCGGCAAAATATGAACCTAATGTCTAATGTTTCTTATTATGAAATAATATACTTTTATTCTTTTAAGTTAAGTTTTACTTGAAATCTTACATATTACAATGTGCGTAACCTATATTCGTTAAGTGCCCTGAGGTTGGTCATGGTCTTCTTGAAGCTGTCATAGTCATATGCTTAGAACATAAAAGTAGTTCCAAGGCCATATGAGATACCTAAGGAATTCAACAGAATCGATGAGTTTATTATACCATTCAAAGGACATAGCAATCTAAAACAATATATGAAAAATAAACCTCATAAATGGGGCATAAAAGTTTTTGCTTGAGCAGGACGCAGCGGCATACTATACGATTTTAAGATAAGTGTGGAAAAAGGAACAGTCCAAGATGAATCAGGTCTTGGAATTAGTGGGAAGATAGTACTGAAGTTGGTCAGAAATCTGCCAAACCAGGGTAAACCAGACCCCTGCAGGGACTGTAAGAAGTGGGCGGCTAGCAGGTTGTCTTTTTTCAGAAGACAAAGTTCTAATGGTCAAAGGTCGTGGATCCTCTAAAGTAAAAATAGACAGCAAAAAAATATTACTGCTCTTAAATGGTATGACAATAAGTCCGTCATATTTGCATCGAACTATATAGGAAAATATCCTCTTGATAAAGTGAAGAGATGGTACAACAAGAGCAAAACCCATGTAGAAATCGAACGGCCAGCAATTTTTAAGGAATTTCGATGGGGGGTGTGTATTTGCATGACATGCTTGTGGAACTACATAGAATCAAAATCAAAACAAAAGATTCTATTTAAGAATAATATTTAATCTTATTGATACATGTATCGTCAACTGCTGATTGCTGTATCAAAGACACTGCAAGCAAAAACAAGTGAAACAGATCACCCTTCTTCAATTCAAATCTCAAGTTGGACATGCGTTACTGAGAGCTGGAAAGTACGACACGAGAAAACGAAGACGTCCTTCTCAAGAGAATACACAAAATAAGAGACAAGTAATGCATCCTGCACCAGTGCAAAATGTTCGATGTGGTGGCGTAGGACACTGGCCATTACATGATCAAAGTCGCTCAAGGTGCAAATTATGTCTAAAGTGTTACTCTATAATAAAATGTTCTAAGTGCAATGTTTTTTTTATGTTTAAACAATAATAAATGTTTTTATAATTTCCATGTACAAAATAACATTTTTAATGGTATAAGTGCAACAATAAACGTATTTCCTATTATAATCAATTTTTACCAGACCTTTATATGAATTGTTATGAATGGATAATAATTCAGGTAGCACACGCCAGATGATTATAAATGGGATAAATTTTTTTTAAGTTTGAAGATTCTAGGATGCAACATTTTTACAAAAGTTATCAACAGTTATTTTTTCTTGTATCGTTTCCTATAATATACATTTTTTTTCAACAAAATTTATTGAAAAAAAAAATAATAATTTGGGCTGGAAAAGTGAAAGGTGGCGAAAACCACACGTCTTTCTCAAAAACGCACCCTTCGCGGTTCTTTCATATTTGGGGTCCATTGACCATAATAATAAAACCCTTTTTCCGCAAATCGCCAGGAAATTTTGACATTCCTGTCAAAATTTCTTGAAGAAAAAGTCAGGACTTCCTTACTGTAAGGAAATGTCATTTCCTTACTGTAAGGAAATGATATTTCCGTACAGTTGTTGATGTTCTACATAAATGATAGAAAACACATTGCTTATAAGGAATTAATTTATATTTTGAAAACATCAAGTCATTGCTGAATACATTTTTAAGATCAATTTGTTATATTTACAGTAATTTGACAGTTAGTACAATTATTGAACATTGGAGGAACACTCTTAGAACTATGAGAAATATTTTGGACAACATGCAGGGTGGAAGTGTCATTTTGTTGAATATTTTGTACTGTGAAAATTTTATTTGCCACCTCAACCTTATTGTTAAGCGATTCTTCGATATATCCTTCAGCAAAGTTTGATGACTTCCATCCGCCATGCCTCTTTAAACTAGTTATGTCGGCACCAGAGTCAACCAATATTGTTGCAGAAGACCGACGAAAGCAGTGACCAGTATATTCTGTCGGATTTACCAAGTTCAAATAAGTAGCAATTATTTTGGGCATTTTTCTAAATTGATGAATTCCTACCACTTGTCTACAACCCTTTCCGCTTTGATATTTAAAGAAAAATCGGTCACTGTTCATATTTTCTGGTCTTAACGAAACATACTTTCGATAAACATTCAAGTAGATCTGATTAATTACAAATGATCTTGGTTTGTTGGTTTTTGAATCAGGTATGCTGATTAAAAGCTTAGATTCTAAGTCTTCTATATCGTGTACAGTCATTCGGACTAACTCATCCATTCTACAGGCCCCAGAAATACCAAATATTACAGCCACCTAAAAAATAAATAAAGCTATAATCTAAATAGAAATTAAAACCTTGTAAATTACCTTAATCATTTAATTTTCTTTATCTGGAGCTTCCTGGATAAATTTTTCAATTTCTTCCTTCGTTAAAATCGTAGATTTCTTTGCCCTATAACCTTGAGCTTGCCGTTTCAATAAGGAACGAAGTTTTGAGTATGTAGATATATCTACATTGTGTTTAAGTGCAATGGTTGACTTCAGCATTGAATAATTGGCCCATAATGTTGAAGATTTCATCTTTAAACAAAGGTCTAGGAAGTATGCCATTACAACATTTTCTGAGAAAGAACTCGTATTTTTACTCATGCGATAATCCATAAAACGTCTGTATGCATTTTCGTACTTTTCTCTTGATTTCTTTGGCAATAATTCTAATGAAGCAGTATTCACTGCCTCATCTAGCTCTGGAGGAGTCCCAGGAATGGAAATTTCATCATCACTTATCATTTTACTTTCGAGAACACCAGCAATTAAATTTATAAGCGTCAAGTTTAACAATTCAACCTCAATACGTTTCCATAGTAACCCAAGTAATTTTATTAGGAATTTTAAAGCACCATTTATTTGGGAATAAAATTATCGCGTTTTTTTTAAATCAATCAATATCTGTCGAATTTTAAACGATTTGCGGAAAAATAGTATGTTTACCTCGTAGGAAAAGCCACATTCCTGGACTCTGTGTTGCTAAGTCTCGGCTTGCGCCTTGACTTAGCAATCTTCACAGTCGTCCAGGAATGCTAAGCTTTTCCTACCCGGTAAACAATGTACTATTATTGTTATAGTTACTTTCTAAAGTACACAACCAATAGTCTAATAATTATCCTTGGTATTTTATCACCCAGGCTTATCAGGACATAGGACATACATTTTTTTCCATAAACAGAAGATTAAAAAAGATATTTGAACTCTATTGAAAATAATTTCAAAATTTTTTTTAATAAGAATAACTTCAATAACAAAATTTGAATTTATGGACTACTGACTACTGTATTGATCTAGTTTTTAATAAACATATTTTAAAAGTCAAATCCTAATGTATTTAAACATTCAAAGCAGTTGAAATGTGGGCCAATTTGTGATGTTTTAAAAATTTATCAGGTAATAAAACCACCTTAATTAGTTAAACAATTTATAATTTTTGGAGTTCGACACGTTCACTGGATCCATTATATCTATTAAATTTGTTTATATAAACGTATTATCCTTACAGTATATGTTAACTGCGAATTGCATAACAACACAAGTTCCTTGTCAATTTTTTGCTAAAAAAAAAACAGTCGCTAAAAGTGTTTCGGAAAGTCCTTTATCTCCTCCCCTCCTCGCCCCCAATTTCAAGCTATAGAATCTCCAAACAAAACGTTCATTCAAACACCGGCAGTTCAAGCAGAAACATCCTTGATCCTTTCATTCTTAGTCGAGATAGTTCTTACGTAAAAGGTAATATGTACGCTGTATAAATTTTCAAATATAAACTATGAATCTAGTGCTTTTATTAGTGTTTTCTTCGATAGTTTTTAAAGTGATTTTAAGTGATGAAGTGCCGAAATGTTGTTCTGCACACGAAGTTTTATCCAAAAACGGAAGTACATTTAATTGTGTACCTGATTTGACCAGAAGACTGCAAATAAATACTAATAATACTAATCACTTAGAAACTAGCCCTAGAAATATATGTTATGATGTATTTGAAGATAATTTTGTAGGACTTAAAGATAACACGGTGGAAATCGTAACAGGTAGATTTTTTCCAAAATGTTGTCCTCTAAACACTGTTTACAATACAAAACTTCATTCCTGTGTAGAAAAGGCAGTTTCTAACAACAATTTTATCAACGAAACCTTTATAAAAATTGGCTTAACACATTGTAAAATTGTAGCTGATTTCGATTTGGAAAAAGATGCAGACTTTGAATATAAATTATTAGATAGTAATAAAAAAATAAGAAGAACTTCATTGCAGGATTACAGCTCATTTTGTGTTGATAAAACTGAGAGTGATTCGTTTGTGATAAGAGAATGTCAAGATGGTTTCGATAGCTGTGATAATTTTAGATGTATTAAGAAATGTTGTCCTGATGGACAAAGTTATGTAAATGGTCCCAAGTGTCAAGACACCTATGAACATGGAATCAATCTGACTGTTTTCAGCACAACTGTAAACAATCCTGAAGGTGAGTTATTAGATTATCGTTTTTGATTTATTTCAAAAGAGGGGACAAGACATATATATATATATATATATATATATATATATATATATATATATATATATATATATATATATATATATATATATATATATAAAATAAGGATCACTCGAAGAGTGGCGGGTTTTTCGGTCAAAAATTGGAGAAAAAAGACAAAGATGATGGCTACTTCATCTATTTATTGAAAACGTTTCGCTATCCAATTTGATAGCATCATCAGTTCATCTAAAAAGAACAATATGAAAAAACCTAACATCCTATGAAAAGCTATTAAGTATGTTACCTCAAAAAGATATGTAGCAGTCAAAGATATTGACAATTATTGTAAAGAAACTTACGACAATGGACATTGTATAATTATGTTATATAAACAATAAATTGAACTAAATATAGTTGACAATTTTCATAAAATTAGCACAGTAAAACAAAACATGTGGTAGTAGTACATGTATGTTAAAAAAATATAGGTAAAAACTTTATCATGTATAAAAAACAAAATTAGTGTAGAAAAGAACTAAAAGGTCCAAGAATGCACTTCCAACAGTAATTAAATAATTAAGATTTCATTTTAACTTTAGGTGGCATTATTCTAATGTTTAATTAAAAATTTTAGTAATTTAAAAGTAATAATGAAGTTACCACTAAGAGCTTGTCGAGTGCTGCCGGTGAAATGGTTCTTTTCTACACTAATTTTGTTTTTTATACATGATAAAGTTTTTACCTATATTTTTTTAACATACATGTACTACTACCACATGTTTTTTTTGCTGTGCTAATTTTATGAAAATTGTCAACTATATTTAGTTCAATTTATTGTTTATACAACATAATTATACAATGTCCATTGTCGTAAGTTTCTTTACAATAATTGTGAATATCTTTGACTGCTACATATCTTTTTGAGGTAACATACTTAATAACTTTTCATTGGATGTTAGGTTTTTTTATATTGTTCTTTTTAGATGAACTGATGATGCTATCAAATTGGATAGCGAAACGTTTTCAATAAATAGATGAAGTAGCCATCATCTTTTTTCTCCAATTTTTGACCGAAAAACCCACCACTCTTCGAGTGATCCTTATTTTACATTGGATTGACGGTCGTACTCCTTTTCTCGATATATATATATATATATATATATATATATATATATATATATATATATATATATATAATTTATTTTTAATTATCTCCTTTTAACTGCATGGAGATGCAATTTTTATAATCATCGGCATTCTACATTTATTTAAAAGAAACGTTTTTCTTTTACGAGCAGCTTTGTTCTTCACAGATGTGGACTGATGCTGTCTTATAAACATAAAACGAAACGTTTCCGCAATATATGGGATAGTTGACATCTTAGCTTTTTCTTTTGTCCTCTCATGTGATTATTATCTTCAATAGTTACAGTGTGAAACGGATTTCATCTTACCTGATCTTCTTTATATACAGGGTGTGTCAAAAAGGTATGTCATAAATTAAATCACGCATTCCGGGGACAAAAATAATTTGATTGAATCCAATTTACCTTAGTACAAAAGTGTACAAAAAAAGTTACAGCCTTTTGAAGTTACAAAATAAAAATTGATCTTTTGCATTATCGCCTAAACTACTTGACATTATTTTTAAAACTTTTTCCTCTTATCACTTTTTCGAAAAACTAGTTTTTTCCTAGTTGGCCATAGAATTACAATTAGTACGGATACAATAATTACAAACAGTTCCATCAATAATAGTCAATAATTTAAAGCTATAATTTTTTGTGTGAATAAGATTAATTAATTACTATTAAACTGGGAATAAGCCACAATTAAAGATAAAAATACGTTTATTGACGTTTCAATTTCCACTTCGGAAATCGTTCTCAAAATACAAACAGTAAATTAAACAAATTTTGTTTTTTTTTTTTGTTACATAGTGAAAAATTCTTCTAATAATTTAATTTTATCTGACTCATTTATATTGACAATTCAGACATACATTATGCATTTTAAAGTAGACGACTTTAAAATGATATTGCCAATATTGTTGAGTTACGCTCCTGGGACGACTTTACTTATAAGATAGTTCATTCGATTACATGAAATCAACTTTAACTTGAGAATATACGTCAGAAAAAAATCATAGCATGTAATTCGTCTTTAAAAAGACAAACACATGACATGATGACAGTAAAATTCTCCTGTTAGTGATTCCATAGTAAATTATGAGGGAAAAACCAGGAAAAAAACCTCATAATACTATCCCGACATTGTAAGTATTTGTTCGTGAATTTAGTTTACCTTCAACAAACATCAAAATTCTGATTTTACATGTTACGTTATTTAAAAAACATAAATGATGGATCCTCTATATGTTACTGACTTACTAATACTGGTATTTTCTTATTAATAACTTCCTCTTTCAATATTGGTAACCAGATCCTACTACATTCTGCCGAGGAATTTGCGACACAATTGGCCTCATTTAGCATAATTAGAGCCGCTTCTTTGATTTTTCTTTTTTTACCATCCGTTTCTTTTAGGACTACATTTGAATTATTCCATTGAACCCTATGTTCATTATCCCATGCGTGTTTACAGATTTGAGATCTATCAAATTCCGTATTTTTAATATAAGATTGATATTCACTTATTCTAACATTTAATGGCCTTGATGATTCACCTAAATAAAACTGATCGCATTCACAAGGTATTTTATAAATGCAATTCTTTGTCCTTTCTTGTTCATTGTTAGGTTTGGTTTTGGACAAAATAGATCTCAACGTGTTTGTTGTTTTGAACGTTGTTGAAATGTTGAATTTATTTCCTATCCTTTTAAGTTTTTCTGATAGTCCTTTTATGTACGGTATTGTTATTTTCCTCATATTATTCCTTGTTTATGCTGTAGGATCTCGTTCTAAGTTGTTCTATTTTATCGATTGTTGAAAATTCCTTATTTATAAATGATAAAGGATAATCATTTTTTAATAAAACAGAAGTTAACAAATGTTTCTCCTCCAAGAACGAATTTTCGTTAGAACAAGTAATTTTGGCTCTATCGTATAAGGATTTAATTATTCCCTTTTTTACATTAATATTGTGATTTGATTTGAAATTTAAATATCTATTGGTGTGTGTTGGTTTTCTATACACCTGAGTCTCATATCCAGTATCGTTCTTAGAGATTAAAACATCCAGGAAAGGTAGCGTGTTATTATATTCCTTTTACATGGTAAATGTTATTGTCTCTTCTTTATCGTTTATATCATTTAGGAATGTGTCCAACAACTCTGATCCATGAGGCCATATTGAGAATACATCATCTACATACCTCCACCATACTGTGGGTTTGAAATTTTGTTTAGAAATGATATTTGTTTCAAAATCGTCCATAAATATATCGGCTAAGAATGGAGATAAACTAGAACCCATAGCTAGACCAAAATTTTGTTTATAGAATTCATTATTTAGTTGAAAATATGTATTATCAGTACATAATGTTAATAACTCCATTATAGCCGATATGTTTAGTCTTGTTCTAGTTGTTCTAATAGATCTCAAATCTGTAAACACGCATGGGATAATGAACATAGGGTTCAATGGAATAATTCAAACGTAGTCCTAAAAGAAACGGATGGTAAAAAAAGAAAAATCAAAGAAGCTGCTCTAATTATGCTAAATGAGGCCAATTGTGTCGCAAATTCCTCGGCAGAATGTAGTAGGATCTGGTTACCAATATTGAAAGAGGAAGTTATTAATAAGAAAATACCAGTATTAGTAAGTCAGTAACATATAGAGGATACATCATTTATGTTTTTTAAATAACGTAACATGTAAAATCAGAATTTTGATGTTTGTTGAAAGTAAACTAAATTCACGAACAAATACTTACAATGTCGGGATAGTATTATGAGGTTTTTTTCCTGGTTTTTCCCTCATAATTTACTATGGAATCACTAACAGGAGAATTTTACTGTCATTATGTCATGTGTTTGTCTTTTTAAAGACGAATTACATGCTATGATTTTTTTCTGACGGATATTCTCAAGTTAAAGTTGATTTCATGTAATCGAATGAACTATCTTATAAGTAAAGTCGTCCCAGGAGCGCAACTCAACAATATTGGCAATATCATTTTAAAGTCGTCTACTTTAAAATGCATAATGTATGTCTGAATTGTCAATATAAATGAGTCAGATAAAATTAAATTATTAGAAGAATTTTTCACTATGTAACAAAAAAACAAAATTTGTTTAATTTACTGTTTGTATTTTGAGAACGATTTCCGAAGTGGAAATTGAAACGTCAATAAACGTATTTTTATCTTTAATTGTGACTTATTCCCAGTTTAATAGTAATTAATTTACAATGCCACAAGAAAATAGCTTTAGAACAATAATAAGATTAATATTAAAAATTTTACATTACATTACATTACGGCCTACACACTTCAGGAAATGGCAGATATGCATTTACATTTGGATAAGTTGGATCAGATTAAATTATGATTTCAATAAACTATCGGGAATATCGTAGGTGAATGTCAAGGAAATAGTGCAGCAGCCGCAAGGCGTTACGCAGTAAAATACCTAAATCGAAATACACCCGATAGACGATTATTTCTGACCATTGATCGTCGTTTACAGAAAACGGGTACATTCTAACTGCAAGTTGCTGGCAATTATAGTGGTCGTCCAATAATGGATGCAACGGATGAAGACATTTTAGAAATCATTGAAGAAGTCCCTGAAACAAGTACAAGGGTACTAGCTGCTCAACTAAATGTTCTTCACGTAAGGGTTTGGAGGAGTTTGAAGGCTCAGCTGCTTAAACCCTATCCTATTCTCAACCCTATTCTTAACAACGGTTCAAGAGTTATTGGTTGAAGATTATTCTAAAAGGATTGGATTTTGCGATTGGTTGTTAATGGAAAACACTCAAAATGTTTTATTAGAAATATTTTGTTTACCAACGAGACTACC